CTACCTACCTACCTACCTACCTACCTACCTACCTACCAGCACCTACAACATAGTTAGGAGCCTCTGGGGCTAGATGTTGAACGAAATACAGCGTACTTTCCACTAGACCATGACAAAAACCAAGGTTCCTGTTTATGGCCTAGGGAGGCCGTATTTGAGGTTTGACACTAGACCAAACCCTTAGTGAGGCCACCCTTGTTTGGCGCACGGATATAATCGAAGTGTGGCGTGGATGTAAAGGTTAGTTTCTAGCTGGAATCCTAGGCAGCATTGCTGATCATACAATATTAGAATAGATACGACATGCAATATCATCATCGTATGGTAAATTTCGTCTGACGCTACCTATGCCTTCAAAGTTGTGGTGTTGAGCTCACAACAGTCTTCCGCCAGACGCATATAGATGTGATGCCGGAGAAGCTCTCCACATGAGATCTACCGAGCTTTAAGCATTACTCTGCACCGATACTGACAGCAAATTTGCTATACCTGCGAAGTGTCGGCCCATAGACATAAAGCAGGTACGGAATTGTGGCCATGACTGTACTGATGGCCCCCAAGATTGTCAGTGTGTATTGAACACCGATAGAACGGTAAATAGGCCCACCAGCAACAGTCATGCCGCCAGCCACCACATATCTGGTAAAAACAAGAAACCCTAGTGCAGATGCTGAGTATCCCCCGTAGGAATCTATGATATACATGTAGGTGACGATGAAAATAGTGGTGATTCCGAATCCGAATAAGGCGGAAGCAATGATGGGAGACCAAATTGAGATGGACGGCTAAATATCCAGAGAGCATGAAAATCAGCGTACGAGACAATGAGGAACAAATCACGGGCACTCACATAGCTGGTCCAACCCATCCAGAACAAACTTACTGGCACCGCTGGAGCACCACCCAGCATTGCATACCAGAGTCGTATTTCAGGAGCAATGGCAGAAGTCCTCTTGTATTCTTTGGCAGTCCAAGAGTATATCACCGGAACTAGGGTGCCAACAAGAAGAATGCCACATAGCATCCCCGCCCAGAGTATTCCAGTCATCTCCTGCGAAAGCCCATATGTTTGACCAAAAATGTATGTATAACCCTCCAGAAAGGTGAAGAGGACAATGTAGATCACGGTAAGGTAGAGCGACATCAAAATGATGATCAACTCAGAGTGAACCAGCACAAATGGCCGATAGACGGAAAGCAGCAATCGTTGGCCCAAGGCTGCATGTTTCATCTCCATCGGGGCTCTGTATCTCTCGTCCCCAGTTTCTGCGCGGAGAATCTTTGCTTTCCAATATAGAAGGAGAGGTCCATATGTTTCTGGCTGGAACAGAAGGATAATGACAAGGGTTGCGCCTCCCATAATGAGCATCATCCACTCAAGCCAACGCCATCCCAAATGAATTGGAATGTAGCTGCCTATGATCTGCCCAGCCATTGGTCCCACAAAGGATGGAATAGCATAGGCTGGAAAAGCATATGTCTTTTGCAATGGATCCCACAAATCCGCTACCGTACCACCAGCGCAGGTGAGTGGAGGAGACCCAAAGAAACCAGCGAGAAAACGAAAGATAAGGTGACTATGGAGGTTGGGAGCCAGTGCCGCGGCCATGATGAAAATCAGAAAAAGGACCATAGTTGTCAGGTAAACGGCGTTCCGACCAAAAGTCTCAGAGAATGGGCCTGAAAGGAGAGAGCCGACCCCAAAACCGACCAGAAATAGAGCTGTTGGCACGGTCAGCTTATGCAAAAGCAATCATCATTCCAAAAACCTGCACTCACCTGTCGCAAGAGATCCGACTACTTCGGACACTTTGAAGTGTTCACTGTATTGCACGATGCCACAAGCATCAATTGCAGATGCGGCGGTTACAGAAAAAGCTATCAAAGAGACCAGAAGGGTCATAAACATCTTCCGCGACACGCTCTGGTTTGCAGGGTTCAAAGGATCACTGGAACTATCCCAGTCCACAATGATAATGGAATCGGTGGGGAGTGTTGCTTGAAGCGAGGATTTGTTGGGATCACAAAACAGAGCATTGCATAACTGACAGCTGGATGATTGAGTATGAGTATGGCATATTCGCATAGTGTGAGCTACCACTTACCTCGAGCTCTGCGGTGGCCCAAGTGTATAGCTCTCACAGTTACATTTGTCTTTGGGTTCCGCCAGTTGGTCGCGAACAGCTTGTTTGATTCGCTGATATTGAAAGAAAGATTCCATCATGGTCAAGTTACTGTAGAAAGTGAATTGGTGAAAAGAAAAGAAACCGGGTAGGTTGTGATTATGTAGCGTCTGAAATTTTAGCCATCACAGTGAGCCCTAGGGAGTAAGGTTACCGGACTTGAATGCCTGTTTTGTCAATGGGCTGTAGATCGGGGCCTGACTCTGCTGTCCGACTGATTTTGCTCCACCTCGCCTTGATGGTACCTATAATTCACCAGTCAGGTCCGGGCTTGGACATTGGCACATCGGATATGTTTGCCACACTTTTCTCCGATGCACTTAAACTCCGGTTGGCAAATGGTTCCTCTGAATTGGAGCTGCATTTTTTAAAGCAAGGGGCAGTTTCTGCTGAACAAAGAAGCCACCGTTTTGTCGCCTGGTCAAGCTTCAAGCCGCCCATGATGTTACAATGTTCCTCTTCGGGTTTGCCTAAGAATGCAACCAAGGCTCTAGATTGAACATGATACCTGAGATCAGCGCGTACTTGAAAGTGGAGACCGATACGTCACATCTGATATGTTGAGGTCAATATCGTCTTGCATTGCCGGATGGTACGGAGATAGAGACTGGGCATTTTGCGATCAGTCTCACTTCAACACTTAATTAATATTTCCATTAGAACAAATTCAAATAAGATTAAACACTATTGTTCTTTTCACAGCTAGTGAGCGTTACACCATTTGAAAACTCACCAGAGATACCGTCCTATGTAAAGGAGACATTAACCTGCGGACAGACTGCCAATGCTATCCAAGTTCTGAATAAGTCAGCATATAATTACGCAATCACAGATTCCATAGTTTTACCCAGTTGAACAGATCAGCCCCAAACCATTCCCGCATATCAGTCCAGTCTTCAATTGTGCTCTCGAATGGCGTTCCGGAATTCGATAGTGGTTGGTTTTCTGCACTGAACTGAGGTCTGGAAAAAGTTATTCAACCGGACCTACCATCACGACGAAGTAGGACTTACTGTAATTGAAGAAGTATGCGATATGCTTTCAAACATATTGCACTTCGACGAGAAAGACTTTTCATTCGAAGCACGAGTTTGGTTAACTCTTCCCGGTACGAGCCTGACTCAAAAGGCGATCGCATATCCAAAAGGCATGAGTTGAGTGCCACAGCAGCGTGAAGCACCTTCAAGCTTGTTACGCCTCTAAGCAACCATAGATAAGGTCGAAGTATTGGGATTTCGTAGATCTGACGATGGATGCCAATCAAGGCGGCACTGGAAGCTATACACCTCTCTCTCGATGTTGCAAGGAAGCATGGTGACTGAGAATGGCGAAAGGGCCGATGTAGAAGAAGGTAGAGTTGATGTGCATAGGCTTGTAGAATGCACCAATAGGCATAACTGGAATCCAATATGTTTGGGGCACCATCGACCAAATAGGTCGAGTCCCATCTCTGTTGTTCCTCGGCGATTATCGCATCAAATTTATCCAATGACTCTGCCTCAAGTCGCGAGGGACTAGATATGTGGTGACAGATCTGAGTGGAGATCCGGAAGAGCCGAACTTTAAACATCATCACGGACATCTGCGTGGGCTTACTTGATGGCTGCGAGATCCCCTCTTTGGTAATGTCGTTGTCATTGACATCTGCCGGCATTGTGGTTTTTATATCAAGAAGGAAAGACATGTCGATATCCCGAAAGAGAATGGCTTGATAGGTATGTAGCGTCAATATGCCAACCCAGCAGCGTCGGCGTCTCTCAGTCTCAAGGTGATCAAGTCCCAGGGAGTCAACATTGCACCGTAGGGCTATGCCGACGTTCAAGGCCATGCCCAACAAGGCCCATCCTTGATCCACAGACTCGTTGTGAGAAAGGTTATATATCACCATCAGCAAAGCCTCGAATGTACTGAGTTTATGTCGGATAAAAAATTGATCTTGTACGAGACAAACCATTGCAGTCTGTTGAAGCCGGCGGGACAAAATCACAGCTTCTTGCTCCTGGGAATGAGACCCTTTTGGCCATAGATCCACGAGTCTAGGATCACTTGGCTCCATGGTATTCAATGCCAGAGAGCACATAGAAAAGAGTAAAGCGAGCCAAGAAAGATCAACCTCATAGGGATTTTGCATGAAGGTAACATATTGCTTCTGGAATGTCGGGCCATGGAGAATGGGGAACAGAGCAGAGATATGATTGAAAAAGTGAGAAACCAGGCAGTCGCAGCTGGTTCTGGGGGGTAAAAGATTAATAATGTCTTGAAGCAAGATACTAGGGCCAATTGAAAAGGGAGACAAAGAGTCGGTTGCTGCGATAGGATCATCTTCTGGACACGGCCGTTGAAGAACAGCTTCCCAGCGACTATCTTGGGAATCTTCAGTTACATCAGGTTCCGACCGCTCAGCTCGACGACCCAAAGAGCCAGTAACCGGTTGGTTCAATGGGGCCAAGGAGGCGGCGGCCCTTTTTCTGGGTCGCACATTGGAGGACGAGGGCTTGGACGTTGTTCGATGAAGATTAGTGGATGTAATCGGAACAGTAGGGGCCAAGAACGAGCACGACAGCTCGTATCCTCGCCGCTTACAAGCACCACAAGGCTGTTGACGGTCACATTTTAATTTGGAGCATCGACAATGCTCGCAGCTAAGGACTTTTCGCTTTCGTCGATAAAGAGATTCATGGCCTTGCGTTCGACACTGCCCATCTTCGGTGGAACTTTGAGTCATCGTATTGCAGAGCTCATGTATACGGAGTTGCAAGTCCGGTATCATTGTAAGAATAAAAATCAGCAAGGGTGTTGGGAACTGTGACGAAAACCGGAGTTTAGGCAGCTCGGAGGAACGGCCGACAGTTGTCCGAGTTTGTGTGATCAACTTTCGGGGCTGCGGAGTTGATCGGGTTTAGCTTGTCGGACTTTGCCCGGTCATATATGTTGATAGTTATAGAAGTAAAAATTCTGTTATAGAAGTCTTATGGTTTAGCATATGTTGACAGTTCCTGTTCTCAAAGATATCTCAGTCCCTGGTTTGTTAGGCTATCTACTGAACTTGTAAGGAATGAGCTCTCTGAAAAGGCGGGTTACTATGATTTGGGCAAAAGAAGATGAGCAAAACCAATATATGGATACCAAGTACAGCGCACAGTGCACAGTTTGTTCCAGTCCAAAACATATGCGAAGCACATCACGAGCTTCCAACCGGTTAGAGCTTATTCGTCCTCCACTAATTCGAAGTGACAATATGCCTATCACAATCTCCGAAGATGGATAGCTATTTGGGCCTAGTCAGAGCACAAGCTAGTGGAATCTGACCAGAAAGCTTGATCAATCACCTTAATTGTGAACATTAAATCCCAATCATGTCGCGATGTGGCAACGCATCGACCTAATTTACTGAGCACTGCTGGAACCAACAAACGTCAACAGTACAGAGTCAGTCTCCGGAACAGTAATATATGTCTTCTCCGCTTACCTGATTTCTGAAGAGACAGACGTGAGCTGTGGAACAACTTAGATATGTATGTCCGTATCTGTGGTCCGCAGCTCCCGTACTAATATAATAAATGGGGTGCTTGGATCTTGCGCCCTTTCCACAAAATCGATGAGGTATTGTGCATTAAGTCGCATCGCCATATGGACTTGAATTCAACGGATATCAATTCATCTCGCACTAAATCGCACAGAGAAATACAAAGTGAGTTTTCTGCCATTGTAGGCCTCAGGAACGAAGGACCACAATTGAACTTGTAAGTCCGAACGAGTTGCGAGAGAGTTACAGAGCCTCACGTTGAGAGCGAGAAATAGAAAAAAAATACCGCATTAAATGAGCCATAGACAGATATTCATGCTGCAAACTTTCCTGTTGTGTCGTTTAAAGGCTACTGAGGCTCAACGAAAGATCAGATTGACCTGGTCATTGACGATCACAGTGATGCTACGAGAGAGCCAGCAACACATTGGCAATGGCAAAAGGGGGACGGCTCGCAACCTGATAGACGTCTCGTTCTGATGTGTCACAAGGCTCAACTACGACTCGTTCTGGCGTCAGCCATGCATGAAACTCTGGTAGAGCAGTTGGAAGTCCCTATATAGGCGGTTTCTGGGTGATTTACCAGCGAGCAAACATGCGAAATCGATCATGAGTGTTACCTGTAGCTTGATGGGAGAGCCTTGGGGTTTAGGAGAGATCGCACAGCCTTCGCGAGTGGCCTGGCAAACGACTGATGAAAACTATTTTGGTCTCCTCAGTCACGTGTATTGAAGTATACCTCTTGTGCCTTCATCGTCAGTCTGGCGGACTGATCCACCCCTCTTACTAAAAAGGGCCTATCTCTGCGTACCTTCCGAACACGAGCTACATAATGACTTTCTAAGGGCAGTTCGTCACCACGATGCGAACTGACTCAACCTAACACCATCCGCTCTTGGCCTTCTGGAACCCGGGAGAGGTTTCTGGACTGAAGACGTCGGCCATGGTGGGTGAGCCGATGGTGGCGACGGAGCTGGCCAAATGGCAGTATGGCAATGCAACTCCCTTGTCCCTGGATGGAATGTCGAAAAACTCCAAGGTTTGCAAATGCAGCAGTCGTAATGATCCCAGCTGCGATATTCGCCAGTTTTGCCGGCAACTCTCTGCAACTCCGTGAGAGGTTCGTCCATAAGATCTGGACATCCTTGTACCGAGTGGAGTAGAAGGAGAGGTGCTGCTCGAAGGCCCACATACGAGTAAAAGAAAGATGGATAATTTAGAGCAGAATCGGATGACATTTCTATGTAAGCCAGCTCGGCTGAAAGAGCATACACATCCTCAGCGCCCTGGCAAAAGCGGCGGCAGAGCTTATGAATGTAGAGTAGGACTGCCCAAGCCGGTCCGGATTGCATAACCAAGATCCAAGAATTGTATCCAGCTTTTCCTGTTGACATTGAGTAGCTGCATGATTTTCATTAATTATGAAACTCTTCCACGCTTGAGATACTCATTAAACATGAGCCACCATCAAAGGCATCGAATGGATACTAATACGCGATGGGGCTCCGCGAGCTGAACATACACAGAGACACCAGTGACTTGGGGATCCAGAAGATTGATGTCGGGTATTGATTCAAATATTGAATGTTGATCCGACAAAGCATCTACAAGAAGAAATGCCAGCCGAAATTTTAAGAATTCGCAAGATCAAAGCCCGAAAGAAATCCCTTAAGAACCATGAAAAGAAAGAAAAACGCCAACCACTCTTGAATTTGTGAGGCCTTGAAACTGCGATTTCATCTCATCCCCGTAAAACTGGTTTAACCCCGGCCGCGCTGACCACGCGCACGCTGCACTGTAGCCTTACCACGTGCCAACCCGACACCGCGCCCGCGCTGGCCTCGTGTACGGAACATGGGAGCATTACTGGAACAGAGAAGCTTGTCAGTAAAAGTGAACGTAATGATGCATAGTTCGCGAAATTGCGATCCAAAAAGTGGATACCAGCGTTCAACTCACCGGAGCATATCAGGTACAATGAAGAATCGCACGTGGCTGCCGCGAATGTAGACCTGGTCGAGATGGGAGACACGACCATCGCGAGCAGTGACGGTGATGTCCTTGAGCTGAACATTCATGTTGTCCTCGGCTGTAGGAAATACATGTTAGCATTGATTCGCGCAAGAGAGTCTCTCCGCAGCTTCTTCATGGTCCGCCTCTCTAGATAGGAGAGCGGGTGCCAGAAAAGTTCGAACAACATTGAATCACGTACCTTCCAAAAGCTTCCCCCGGTAGACGACTCCGGATGTGATCTCAATTGTCACGACGTGACCCTATTAGAAACCGATATTAGCCCCTCTGTCTCGCACTATCCGCAGTAGTCTCCGTTTTCGCGATGTCTGCCTTCAATCCTTGCAATCTAACCAAGAATAGAAATGGCAAGATCAGGGAGTAGAACGCACCTGCGCTTCGTTGAGGAGCTTGATCGGGATGCCGATCGTGGAGGTGAGCTTGCCCATTTTGACTGTGTGACGGCGAACGAGGATAGAAAACGGTTGAACGAAGTCGACAGTGAAACACCAAGAGCTTCACGTGCGCCAAAAAAAAAGGCACGAATTAGGCAATGAGTGGTCGTGGGGAGATGGTGGGACAGTGGTGAGGTCGGATTAAGTTGAGGGTAAGAGAAAGGCGAGTTTTGCGGCTAAGCTCATCCTCTCCGCTTTGGGCTTTCTCTCCATCCCGACTAAACAACAACTCCAACCGTGAAAAGGCACAAAACCACCCACAAGATGCACGTCCAATAGCACTCTCTACACCTCCGATAGTTCTGCGTCAAAAATCCAAACTTCACCATAATGGCCGGCTCACCCAATTCCAATTTACGCGGCTTCAACCACGCCGTTCAAACCCTTCTCAAACAACCAACCCAATTCCTCCCACACCTCACAATCCCAACTTTCACCTACCTCCCCGAAAACTTAGGCCCACACCTTATCAATGGGAAGAAAGAGCCACCAGCACAAATTCCAACACCCGAAAAATCCCCGCATACACCCATAATCCGTGCCCTGGTCCTTGACAAAGACAACACGCTCTGCGCAGCGAAAACAACATCCTTCCCCCCACAAGTCCTGGCCAAACTCTCCTCCCTCCGCACCTCGCCAACCTCTCCCTTCAACCAAATCACAAACCCGAACTCAATTCTGATCGTCTCGAACCGCGCCGGCAGCCACCCGCGTTTCGACGGCGAGGTCTCTGAGCTGGAAACCCAGCTTGCACATCTACGGATTCCTGTTTTCCGGCTACCTGCGGGCACGGAAAAGAAGCCTTTTTGCGGCGAGGAGGTTGTGCAGTGGTTTCGAGAAAGGGGGGTTGTAAAGTCTCCGCATGAGATTGCTGTGGTTGGGGATCGGCTTGGGACAGATGTGCTTATGGCAAGGATGATGGGGTCATGGAGTGTTTGGTGTAAGGAGGGAGTGTTTGAGGTTGGGATGAAAGGGAAGCCGGAGCGGAATATTTTGGAGAAGATGGAGGTTTGGATTGAATGGTTCCTCAGGGAGAAGGGAGGGTATGCGGCGCCTTTGCCGATG